GTACCCTCTCGCTGGACCATCACTGGTGAGCCGCGGCTCTCTCTGCTGCTGCTCTCCCTGCTACTCTCTCTGCTGATGCTCTCGCCGGGAAGTTCTTCCATGCGCCTCCGCCGACCAGCTCCTCCTTCGGAGGCGGCTCGAGCGCCTGGGGGAAAGGGCCGGGCCCTGAGCCCCGCGGCGCGCACGCCTCCCTCCCCGGCAGGCGCCCTCACCACAGTCGGCTGCAGCGCCTCGAGGTCAGCCTCGGAGTAAAAGACGACGTCGCGCGCCTGCGGCAGCCAGCTGAGCTGCTGTGCGTGGACGCGCGACTGCACGAGGTTCTTCGCGGTCAGGATGCCGAACGCAACGTCCTTGACGCTCAGCTCGCTGCCCGTCGTCGGCGGCGACGAGGAGCACCAGGCAGTGTCGGCCTGCTCAGGCGGCGGCGAGCTGGCTGTTCGAAAGGCGGCGGACGGCCGCAGCAGTGGAGACGCGAGCTCGGCGGCGGAAGGTCTGGCGGCGGCGGCGGTGGTCGTGGATAAACTGGGGGCAGCGCTGCTGGCACACGCACAGCTGTCTCGGACAATGCACACACAATAGGCGAGGAAGGCTCCGGCGAGCGTGTGCAGAAGCCGCGACGAGAGAGAGAGGGAGCGGTGGCCGCCATTCCGCGCGGCTGCGAGTTCTGACGGTGGCTTGTCGGCGCGCGATGAGCGCCAGCGCATGTCTCTGCTGGCCGACCAGACCGGTTTACCAAAGCAAGAAAAAAAAGCACGGGCCCTCAGCGGAGCTGGGAAGAGGACCGCCGCAAGCGGCGTGGCGCGGGTCGGTTGTGCATCCCTCCGGGGGCCCCTCTGCGCCGGGGAGGCGTTGTTGGAGGCTAGGACGCAAGCGTCCGTCGCCCTTTTCAAACTCGGGGCCCACTCCGCTACGCTCCGACCCGAATTTGGAGGGCCTGAAAAGTTTAAGGTGTTGCTGCGCAAAAGGGGTCGGACACAGGGCGCAGCTCATGCTAAGAGCTAGAAGGGGAGCTAGAGAGAACGACTACCCTGTCCCGTTATTGCGTACACCAACACCACAAAGCTCTCTCTCTCCTGTCCTCACTCACTCCAGGGGGGTCACAACTACTGAGTCCCTCGAGTTGCCGACCGAGATGATATGGTGTGGCTCGCCGCTCTCGAGCCAGCCGAGCAGATGGAAGTGAATCTGCCCCCT